TTTTCATGTCATAGTCAGTAGGAGTGGCCCTGGTCAGGTGGCCTTGGATGTGGCTATTCAGTGGCCCAGGATTCTCCCATATTTTGACACTGCCTCTCTTTAAGATGGAGGCTGTGTGAAGGTTCTAAAAAGAGCAGAACAGGCCCACTGAATGAATGCACAAAATCAAGAGGATTAAAATATTTTAAGTTGATTTTAGAGAGACAGTCTAATGGGAGGTTTTATGAGCCAAAGCTAGAGGTGCCCTGAGCACATTCATTCCATTGGCTTGAGTCAGTCACATGGCCAAAGCTAAAAGCAAGGAATTCTGGGAAAATAGTCTAGCAGTTTGGTGAAGAGGAGGAGGAAACAGGTTTGTGAATCATCCAGCCAAGTGGGTACAGAAAACCATTTGCAACCATTTGGGGTGCATGTTCTTTCTCACTATCCTTTACTCCATAAGGGTTTAAAATTAAAAACTTCTGTCTCAGCCAGGGCAATGCATCACTTATAGGAGGGTGCTGCAATAGCCCAGTAGGGAGATAACAGCAGGGGTTATATCCTCACACCCAGGAGAAGCCCAGTTTATGCCTGTGGCCCTAGCATCGCATCCAGTTGGTACCTTCTTGAACTCTCAAACATGGCCCAGTTTGGATGATAAATTGTAGAGTCATCCTATCTGTCACCGTGAAGATGACAGAGTGTGAAGATACACAATATTGCTGAAAAGAAGCCATACAGCCACTGTTCCGTAAAGACAGTATTTTTTTCTTTAATTTTAAAATTCTGCATCTGAAAACACAGTATGACAGAAAGCATCTATGTACACCTGCAGTGTTTTTGGTACAATACAGTATTTAATACATCCACTGTTTTCTGCAAAAAATTTTGCTTTGTCAGACAGAAATAAACTCCCCTAGACAAAAAAATACAGCTAAGGCACAATTTTGTTGTTGTCGTTGTTCTTGTTTTCTGCTAAACGAAAAGACAGAAAAGGTGCAAAAATGGGCAGGTAATGCAATCGTTGCCGAGAATCACATTCTACTTCGAAGAAAAGCATTTGGATGGTTGAAACTTTGCTTATTGGTCAATTTCAGATAGTTCAATATCTTTTAAAATACTCCTTTAAATAAATAGCAAAATATCTACATCTTTCAGTGTGTGCCATTTGAATTCTCTCTCTTTTTTTTTTTAAAACTGTATTTACAGAATCTCTCTCTTTTTTAAAATCAATACATTACAAAATATTCCTGTACAGTTTTATGCATATTATGATCTATAACAAAATAGTTATTTTTAAAAACTATATCACCACATGTCTTTGAAAACAATGAGGGGGACGGTAATAACTTATTGTGAGGCCTCTAAAACAAATACCCAAACAAACACTATTGACAACATCATAATATTTTTTTTAAAAAAAAAGACAAAAGGACTACAAAGACGACTGCGCTCAATTCCAGTGAATTTCCTATGAAAACCCTGGGGTTGTCTTTGGCCTTCATCAGCACTGGAGCGATGGAAGGATTAAGGATAGAGTCTGAAGGTAGGCAGAGGGTGATCCCTTGGAGAACACTACCCATCTGCTGGGAATAGTTAGTGCTATCACTTTCCAGGCAGGAAGGACAAAGAGATAAATTGAGAAACCCTCCTGACTTACCCTTGAATGAAGTACATAAAGTCACCGAGTCTTGGGGAGAGGGACGGTTTAGAAAGCCCAAACCCAACGTGAGCACTCTGCATGGAATTAAGCCAGCCTATTACAGCGACACTATCCTCGAAGAGAGAGTGCTTCAGGGGGTGACTAAGGGTTAGATGAACACCCAACCCTTCATTTTGCCCATAGGAAAAATACAAGGACATTTTTCTTAAAGATGACATCTGTAAGCAATTCCTATCGCATCTGCAACTATAGACTGGCAGCCCCCTGGCTTATGAGGCTGCCACGAAAGCTTCGTGGTGCTCTTTCTTCTGTGATGTGGGTGGAGATGTGAGGACGGCCAGCTTCCCGAAAAATAATTTTAAGGCCACATTTCAAAAAGGAGAAACCTAAGGCTTTTGTTGTTGTTGTTGTTGTTGTTGTTTTTGGAAGGGGGGATGGGAGAAGCAAGTTGGGGGAAAATGCGGATGGACTACATGGCGTTAAGAGTGGGGGTGGCAGGGTGCAGAATCTGCTTCCTGGTGGTGTCTGTAGGCAGAGGCAGTTGGAATATTCCCAGCCAAGAGCAGAGGGAAGAGAGGCCACTTTCTCCTTGCATGGGGCTTGGCAAGCACAGAACCAAAGACAACGTGAGGGGCAGACACAGGTGGCGCATGAAAGCCCTCCTCAGTCTTCAGAGGGTCCTATACAGTATCTCGTTTGCAAGGTAAGAAAAATAATACTTCTAAGTTAGAGAGCCCGAGAGGCAGAGGGAGAGAGAAAGAAAAAGAGAAGTTGCATAGATTGTACATTCAGCTCAAGCAGATTTGGACACCTTTATTCCCCCCCGCCACCCCCCAGGTAAACTTCTCAGCAGACACAATGAGGTAGCGCCTGGGGTAGACCCATGGGCAAAGTAAGGTAACTGAGGCAGAAGCTAAGAGGACATCCCGAGAGCCAGCACAGCTCCGTGTGGTTTCAGAAGAGGCTTCTAGACAAGTGGCAAGATGGGAGCCAAAACTTGAGATGTGGAGAAAGCCCAGCTGTTTCCCCCAGGACCCAGACCCTGGCTTTGCCATTTTTGGTTTGATGGACTGGCCTCAGGAAGATGTGAACCTCTGCATGTCTGAGGGGTCCAGATCTCCAAATTCTGTTCTTTCTTTCTTTAGCACAAACTGTCTTGGGATCAGGAGAGCTGAACAAGCCAGTCTTCCTCTGTGGGGTGGTCTCTTCGGGAGGGGAATAACTCCCAGGAGGTCTCCATTCCCCTCAGAGTTCAACATGAGCTATTATTGTTCTTGCTCTGACCTGATGCTGGGTTTTTTTCTTCCTTCACCAGGGCAATGCCTAACTTCATCTTAAACTACCTCTCCAGAGAGCAGAGGTTGCTGGCAGTGCACAAGCAGAACTGTGGAATTCTTTTGACCACAGTGAGTTAAAAGAAAAAAAAATAACTGATATTGAAAATTCAGATTTTCAATAAAAGTCTGGACTTCCAGCTTCCCTTACCATCCACTACACTGTGCTTCCCTTCCCCCATGCAATGGGCTAGAGCTGAGTGGCTGCTATTCCTTCTGGACGGGGCCGTGCATGCCCTAAGGGCCCATGGTCCCCATCCCTCCCTCCTATCTTACACCAATCCGTGTCCCGGACTTGTAAACATCTGGGACTCCTGCCACAGAGTGTGGTTTGATCGGGCAGACCTACCTTGCTGTCTTTAAAGCTGAGTGTGTTGACAGCTGTTTCTAGTCTCCTTCCCTGCCCCCATGCTGCTAGGGAAGTGGTGTCCCTAATCCTCAGTGGACTTGGTCGTGAAAGGGCTCTTTGTCACCTGCCACACCCAGTGTCCACTGCTTTCCTCTATTCTGCACCTTCCTGGAGGAGTTGAGGGTCTAGCCACTGTCGCCTCAGTGCAAACAGACAACCAGAAGGAAGCATGGTGCTCACACACCCAGGCTTGTGCCCAGAGTGGCTGCAAGGTGCCTCTTCTCGGTTGGGACTGTGGTCTTGCTTGTCCTCTCAAAACTCCATTCAAAAAGTTAAACCAACAATGAGAACTAAAGCCAGAACTCATGATCCCACCAGAAAATAGAAAAGCCTTTTAACCAAAGGGAGGAACTCGTGTACTTCTTAAAACACGAGGTCCTTGGGAATTGCTCACTTCCTCCTAAGAAACCGCTTTATGCTGCCCAGGGAAGTGGGACTGGGGATGGCTTGCTGTCTCCTGAGCTCCATTTCTGTCTGAACGTCACTGGTGGGCGGGAAGTCATACAGAGCTCAGCAGTCTACATACTGAATGTTACCTTTGCTCCACAAACTGACACCTGAGTTCCACCTCCTAAGTCTTCCTTTATTTCCAGGATCTAGTCAGTGGCTCAGCCCACAGTTGCTGGAGTTTCTGAGACTGTGGCTTTATGCTTTCGAAAACTCCAGGCAGCCGTAGCTCCAGGCTGTCTGACCATGGCCCTCAGGCAGGTTAGGGGAGGGAAGAGTTATGCTATTTTCCCTGGGAAAACATCCCTTTTCTCCAATCAAGCTGCGCTTTGTTTGGAATTCTACTTTTTTACCAAACGTAACATCTACAAAATGATTACACGTATCTGGACTGAAACAGGGGAGACCGGGTCATACTGAACTAGCTGCAAGAGGGGAGGGAAGCCTCTGGGGGACGAGAGGGTCCCCACAGCAAGTCAGCTCTGTCTTTCTCCACTGGTTCCAGGATGGAAAAAAGGGCAGAAATGTCGTGGGTGCAGGAGGGGCCCTGTCTTGAAGTCTGTAGGCTCACTCTCTACACAGGGATCTACCACGGCCAAGTTCCCAAAGCCGCCACAAATAACACTGCAGAAAACACAGCCCAGGCAGCCAGCCAGCCAAGAGAGTGAAAAGGAAGCCTGGATGGAGCAAGCCCAGGGAAACCATGGCCAGAGGCTGGGGCAGCAAGGGGACGCGGCCTCCGGCTCGAGGTCTGTAAAACCACTCAGAGATCATAGAAACTTTCTGACAGAGCCACTGAAGGTCCCCGGGGCCACTGCTGACAGTGGCCATCTCTTGGGCTCTCTGGCTGGGTTTAGCCAGTTCTTCCTAGATCTCCTTTAGAAGGACCCCATGTCTGTCTGTCATCGTCATGTAGAAGCCCATGGTTAGACTGAATGGGAAATCATTTACAGAGAAAGCAGAGGGGCGCAGAGGGGCCCCAGGTCTCTGCAGTCTGCACACTCCCCTACCCCAAGTCTGTCATTTCCCTGTGCAGGGCAAGGGTGGCTCAGGAATTACAACACTCTTGGAAGCGGAGGGACAGATGAGGCCAACATTGTACACCCTGTATGAGGCAGAGCGAGGCTCCCGCAGTCCCCCGGTACCCCACCCCCTCCAAGCAGCAGATGATGTGGGTTGGAGCTTTCTTTCCATGGTGTCCAACACCCCTGCAGTACTCTGAGGACGAGGAGCATGGAGGGCAGACACAGGAGGAGAGAAATCATATAGAGACACATACCAGGAGGTAGGAGAGAAGGGGAGTGCATGGCAAAGGTGGGGGCTGGGGGCCTTTTATGAATAAAGGCAGCTTTAGTTAGTAAGATAACATAATTGACAAGCTGCAAAAACAGCACCTACTTATTAGTCATCGACTAAAACATATAAATAATAAATATCTAACATGTTCCTTCTCCATGTCCTCCATTGCCAACAGGACACCCCGCCTTGCAGGGCAGGGATGGGGTGACACACTGACAGGTACCTTCAAGCCCACCCTGGAGAGAAGCAGGAGGACGGGCTCTCCATGGGCAGGACTGTTGGCAACCAGGGCATGACCGGTCCAAGGGAACCCTTTCATTCGGGGAGATGGGATTATGGGAGGAAGGGGGGCCTCCGGGGCCATGGCAAGGAAACCCCTCAGGTTTCAAGTAACTTGAGCATTTGAATAACACTATTTTAAATTTTTTAGATAACTTTTCCACTTTTATGTTGCACGTCCACAAGGGCCTGTTCGCACTGTGGACAAAGGAAGGGCATGAAATTAAAAACCCAAATCTGAAATGCTTTTTTCCTGGATGTGAAAAGTCTGGTCCACGCAGTTTGGTCACTCCCAACAGCACTGAGGGTGCGAGTCAGAAGGTTTTGTGGGCCTGACCTCAGAACAGAAGGGCTCTGGCAGGTGCCGGGCATTGCTGTGCTGTCTAGCTCAGGTGTTTGGCTATAATTTCCTAGCCATGGTCCCCAGAGATCCCATTTTCAAGGACCAAAGAGGTCATGCCCCTCGTCTCTGGCTCATGGAAACTGGAGGCTCATACTCACAGCATCACCTTGTTTCTGCTATTTCATGTGGCAGCCTTGCTGGGGGAGCCCTGGGCCCCCGATAACTGGCAAGTCACACTTGACTGCATCACATCAAAAGGCTTTTTTGCTCATCTGGTTACTAAGGAGAATAGCTCAACCTGAGGAGGGCTGCCAGGCAGTACCTAGCTTTCCTCCCAATCCTGCTACATCCCTTGAAAGGGCCATGACCGTGACTTTCAGGACTGGTGTAGGGTCTCTCAGCCAAGGGGAAGAGAAAGATGATCCAAAGGGTAGGGCTGGAGGGCAAACCCATGGTCGGCCTGGGCAGTGCTTGTCTAACTGGGTTTGGCAGAGCCCTTGGGTTCTGAAGAGGTACCTTAGGAGATGGCCGTGGCAAAGGGACTGCCCACTGGGCTGAGCTTTGAGAAGGAACCTCCCAACTTCATGTTCCTTAGCTTCAACCAGAGCAGCTTGGACTTCATCTGCACCTTGAACTTCTGCCTAATACTGTGCTCAGTAAACAAAGTTCTGCTGCTCAAAATAAAAGCTTGAAAATCACTTGTCAGGGTTGTGGAGGGGGCGTGTTGGGTCATCGGAGGGGATGACAAGGAACCTGTAGGATTTGAGGATCGAACGGAAGAGGGGAGGTAACCACAGCGCTGGGACTGAGCCATCCCACCCCCAGCTCGCCAAATACAGGTTGTTGGCTGCCCCTGGTTTGGCCTGCTAACCTACCTTTCCCCTTGTTGTATGGCCAGGAGAGCCCCTTGCACAAAAGGCACTCCCTGGGGTGGGAGGCCAGGGTTCAGGCCCCACAGCCCCTTTGGCTGCTTTCCCATTGAGATCCTGCTGTGGCCCACTCATGCCCAATGCTACCTAAGCCGGCCATCAGGTTTGACTGCCCCCAGCTCTGACTTGGGGTCAGGGCTGAAGGAGCTCCAAGCTGTCTGGCTGCAGGTCTGCATGACTGGGCAGGCGGTAGGGCCCGTGGTACAGATGTCCATGGCGGTCCACATCCCGCCCACCAGCGAGTCCAGCCAGCCCTCCAGTGCTGCGCCGGTGGAGGCCGCGTTCCTCCGGGCCTGCTCCACCTGGGCGGGGCTGATGGGCAGGCTGAGGACGGGGTTTAGGCTTTGGAAGCTCTGCTCCATGTAGGCGCTGCGAGGGGGTCCGTTGTGCAGCTTTGATGCCTCCTCTGAAAGCCAAAGGGAACAGTTTCAGGATCAGAAGTGCCACCACCTAGACATCTACTTACCGCATACTTGGTGCTGGACTGGGCACTGGGCATCGCCTTTTTTAATTGACATGATAATTTCAAGAGGAAGTCCTTTTAGCAATCCCATTTTACATTTAGGTGAGGAAATCGAGTCTGTAAGGACAAAGCCCATTTTCCACAGAGCATGGTACGTTCCTTTGTTCATCTGACACACATTTATAGAGCATCTTTGATAGTCCATACAGACATACATTCACTCATTCAATACGTATTTTGAAGCACCTACTTTGTGCAAAGCATTCATTCTACACATATTTACCCAGCATCTATGATCTGCAAGGCATTTATGTGATAAATATACATACATTAGAACCTCTGTATGTTGACCACCCAAGGGATGGTAATAAACTGGTCAACATATAGAGGTGCTCGGCATAAGGAGCTGGGCCTACTGTACTGATGTGATACAGGTCGGGTCTATGAAAATTAGGTCATCATAAGGAAGTGGTCAACTTTGGAGGTTCTACAGTATATATTAAGTGCCTACTAGGCACTATTCTACCAGACTCTATTCTAGGCAGCAGAGTGAACCAGATGGGCAAGGAGGTTACAATCTAGTGGAAAGAGAGATTGAAAACAACAAAGGAAAAACAACCAGGTCATTTCAGGCTGGGATAAGTGTCATGAAGGAAATAATTATTGAGTCAGGACAGAAGTTTGGCAAACTACGGCCCTTGGACCGAATCCAACCTGCCACCTGTTTTTATAAATAAAGCTTTACTGGAACGTAGCTATGCTCATTTGCTTATTGTTTACTGTATGGCTGCTTCTGTGCTACCGTAGCACAGGTAAGTATTTGTGTTTTGCCTGAAAAGCTGAAAATATTTACCACCTAGCCCTTTATGGAAGTTTTCCAACTCTTGGGTTAGAGAGTGACAGGGTGTTTATGTCAGCTGGGGTGGGCAGGGAGACCTCTCTGGGGAGGTGACATCTGAGCTGAGACACCTAACGTCTGGGGAAGAGAATTCTAGGCAGAGGGAACAGCCAGTAGAAAGCCTACGTAAGCACCTTTCCCCAAGTCACGCAGGTAAAGAGTGTCAAAGCCAGGGGTACCCTGCCCCTGGCGAGGTGTCAGCTCTCAGCTGCTGGGTATCCCGCAAGGGGAGTCATGGGTTTCCACTTCCTGGAAGCCTTGTTCGTGACACGATGAATGAGATGACCACAACAAACTCGCACTGGAAAGTGTGAAACTTGGACAGGGGTCGGGCGGGCTGTGGGCAAACCAGTTCTCTAACGGTTCTGCCCTGCTGAACACCTACAGCATGCCAGCTCTGAGAAGCACTTCCTGCCATTGTCCTGCAGTCAGACTGGCTCGAGTCTCTGCGTTCCACATGCCACCTGTGTGACTTCTGACATCAACACCCTATACCTTAGTTTCCTCACCAACAAAATAAAGTACTAATACATTATTCATCGTTTTGTTTGTGAGGATCCAACACGCTGACTCATATGAAGGGCTTATAATGGCACAGGGGAGATACTGAGAGCTTGGAAAAGCTCAGGTGCAGTGATGACTGCTGGCATTGGTTCTTAATCCTCACATGCACGCAAAACGTCAGGCTGGTTTTATCATTCCCTTTTTGCAGATGAGGAAACAGAAGCAGCTAGTTAGAGACAGAGCTGGGGACAGATAGATTCAGGAGCAGCTGACTCCAAAACCAGTGCTCTCCTGCTCGCCTGCAGATGAAGCATCCACCAGCTGGCAATTAAAGCAACATTCTTGTTTTTGCTTTTTCATCTGGGAGCACGTCTTTTGAAAATTTGGCTTCCCCATCTGCAAAACGGGCATATTCATCCTGGTACCAATGAGATCCACAGGGCTGACAAGAGACTCAAAACAGAAGTTCACGTACTACATAAACTGTATAGTAATGTGTACATAAGAGGGATAGTATTGCTTCCCAGGGCTTCAAAATTTGGAAGCAAAAACTGTAAGAGTTTCAGGTGAAGGAAAGAAGCTCAATGCTTCTGTTTTTGAAGAAGTCCCCACTCATTGCCTATCTTATTGCTAAATGCAAGCATCTATTTTTTAAAAAAAGACTGGGGACAATGAGTAACCACGTAAAGCCATGTAAATTGTGTTGTATCAAGTCAGGCGTGGCTACAGCTAAGATAGGTAGGGTTAGCAGAAACTTCCCTCCGAGACAGTGCAGTGTTCGGAAGATAACGCTTCCTGACAGCAGCTGCCACCACCAGTGGCAACCACGAGAGCCAGGGTAATTTTCGGGTTGTTTTCTTCTAACGTGTATGGTCCTGGGTAAGGAAAAAGGAAGTAGATCATATGTCTGCCTCTCTTAAAACAATGAGAATACGAGCTGAATTCAAAATATGCCTGCACTAACACAGATGAGAATGGTATTCCTTCAAAGCCCAAGGCCCCAGGGAATGGAGGAGCTGGGCTTTCTGGTTTGGAGAGGGATGAATGGAGGAAGAGCATATGCGCTGGACATAGATTCTGCCTAGCTGGGAGTTAGCCAGGCTTCTCTCTTTCACAGTAGTTACGAGACACTGTGCTTACAAACTGGTCCTAGCCCACCTCTCTCCAATGTGGGCAGAGTGGCAGCTCCGGCCACATCTGCCAGAAAGACCACAGCCTCTGTCTCTGGCGCAGTCTTCTGTCCTCCACCAGAGCCTCTCCACGCCTCCATTCTGCAGAGTGGGAAGCTGTGGGGTAGGGTGGGCGGGGAGATACGCAAACTGACAAAAGGCACAACAGTCAAAGTGAAAGGAGCAGCTCACAGACACTGAAACACTGGGAACCAAATATTGTGGTAGATGCAAAAACCCTTATGAGAAATGAGGTTAATGTGGGAAATGCTATTACAATATCAGCTCACGATGCTCGTCTCTATAATTAAATTTTCCTCAATTCCACCTCATCAGATTTCTTGAGATTACCAGGGATGCATCAATAGCAAATTACGCTTGATGAATCATTTTACAAATTGCATTGCTCCCACCTCCGTGTTCCCTGTCATTGGAACACTGTTAACAAATACAATTACCGACGACAGAAGGGCCGCTCCCAGTTGGGTAAAATAACCCTTGGGTCATCCTGGGCATGGGTGAAAAGAGCCCTGCCTTCCTTAGAAACTCCAGAAGAAAATGTAGGAAAAATCAGGACCCAAGGCATGATCCTGGGCTATTTTGCAGGGGTGCAGGGGGATTCAGGAATGTCCCCTTGTTCTGTTCTATAGGTGCACCTGTCTTTAGCCTGGTTCACGGTGGGCAGGGAGGAGCAGGCTTGCATCTCAAGGAAATACCAGGTGTCTATCTTCCTGCTCGCTCAGCACGCTCAGCACAGAGACTACGTAGCATAAGCCCAGAGGGTTCACTTCAAGACTCTTTCCTAGGACCACTGGTTTCCTTTCCTCGCATCTGTGTCTCCCTCCCCTTGTATCATTGCCTAAATGTAACCTAATCAAGAGCTCTTTTCAGCCAACACGGGCTGCAATGCGTTTCTGGATTTGGGGTTTGTGATCTGTTAGACGAAGATGAACAATTCCAAATACCGAGAGATCCAGAAATCTCACAGAAATCTCATTGCTAGGGGTCTGGTGCTGTCCCTGAGGGGATATGCACAATTTTATGTTTAAGAACCTTTCTTGCAGCGTTACCATTACAGCATCTTCATCATCATCAGCTCTACCGATGGGGGAGCTGACAGACTGCACTTCCTTAACCCAGTGAAATGTGATGCAGCTGGTGGCTTTATATACACCGACTTAGTGAAAAAAGCAAGATTCAGTACAAAATGTTATTATTCCATTTTTAAAAACTCAGCGAAGTTTTTGTGTTTTATGATGTGTGGTAAGATTTGCTGATAGATAGTAAATATTTTTGGCTTTGTGAGCCACGTAGTCTCTTTCGTAACTATGCAACCTGAAAAACCTCTGGAAGCAGGTGTGCTTAACTGTTCACGGTGGTTACTCACGGAGGTAGGATTTGAGTAGGGAGAAAGATACTCCCCTTGATAAAAAAAAAAAAAAAGTGGGAAAGGGGGACAAGGAAGCCTGAAAGGAAACCCTCTGAATTGGGGAAAAAGAAAAACAAACCAGGCATGTTAGGGGACAGACAACTCCCTGCTCTCCAGACACAGTGGAAACCACCAAATTTCATGTTAATGATTCCCTTCATTTTTGCACAGCTGTTTTTGAAAAAACCCTGCTCTGGGGCCTATACCTGCAGGTGGAATTTCTAGGGACACATGTATCCTGAAATAATATATAGTAGAACCTTCACAGTCGACCACCGCCCTACACTGACCACCTCTTCAAGCTGACCTAATTTTCATAGACCAGACAGAGATCTGTTAGTGACCACCTCCTTACATTGACCAGTTTGTTACAGACCCTTGGGTGGTCAATTTACAGAGGTTCTACTGTAGCCGGCTTCCTTCTGAAGGATTACTCCTCCTAGAAGCATTGCTTTTCCTCCTGCAGGTTGGCAGGGGACGGCAGAGTAACCACCATACAAAACCATGGGTGGCTAACCCCCGGCGTGATTTTAGAGCATCCTGGGCATTGCACGTCTATGAAGAAGGAACTAGGCACACCAGGCACTTCTTGGGTTTCCCCTTTTCCTCTTCCAGAGAGGAATGGAGGAGATCCTTGGCAAGAAGCATGTGCTTATATAGAGGCTGCCACAGCTGGAAAGGCAAGTAACACTTCCGAGCCACTAGGGCTCGAACTCAGGACCTTTTGCGTTTAAAGCAAACATGATAACTGTCACACCAGGGGACCAGGACTCTTTCTGAACTTTAAATATAAATGCATCCTAAGGATTTATTCTGTAATATTTCCCCTTCAACATTATGTTTGAGAGACTCACCCAGGCCAATGTGAGTCTGAGCTTTACTGATGTTCACTGCTGCATAGCGAACTGCTGTGCAGACCATAAATTGTTTATCTTCTCCAAAGCTGGACTGTTTTCAGTTCTGTGTTTTTATGAAGAATTCCTGTATGAATATGTTTGCCCATGTCTGTAGGGCAGTGATTTTCAACCAGCGTGCCGTGAGAGGATCTTAGGTGTGCGGCGAACATTTTTAAAGATGATTAATTAAATTATTTTAGAAAGGAGTTCAAAGCAAAGTAGGTATATTCTTTTCTTTTACTTTTTTTTTTGATCAACAGAATTTAAGTGTGCCACAGATTCAAGTAGGTCGTGAGATACACAAGGTTGAAAAACCCTGCTCTGGGGCCGACACCTGCAGGTGGAATTTCTCTGTGGGAGGGCTTGTGTAAGCTCAGCTTTACTAGGAGATGCTAAACCATTTAGAAATGTGCCTTGTCAATTCACACTTCCACCAGCAGGCACATGGCCATTATATTCCAACCTTAGCAACGTGTGATATTATTTAACCGTACACATTTGCCAGTATGGTGGGTGTGACATGGAATGTCTTTTCACTTTGAACTTGCATTTCTCTCATTATTAACGAGCCTGAGCATCTTTTTACATGTGTGAGGGTCATTCACCTTCTCTCCTTTTCCACCCTCTCTCTTTTATAGCAGGGATTGGCAATCTTTTTTTTTTCTTTTTTAATAAAGATTAGATATTTAATAAAGGATTAAATATTTTGGCTTGGTGGGCCATGCTGTCTCTGTCACGCTATTCAACTCTGCCATTTTACTCCCAAAGCAGAAGCAAGCAGCATCTAATAAGTATGACCGCATTCCAATAAAACTATATTTACAAAAACAGTGGGCTGGATTTGCTCTGTGGCCCATAGTATTTGCTGACCTTTGATTTATGGGCCAGATATGAGTATTTTAAAAAAATGTGTAGCAAATATCTCCCACTAGCATGCGCTTCATCTTTCTACCTAGTGTATCATATTTCTGATGAATAGAATTTATTTTAGTTATATTTTAAATAGTAAATTAAGATTTGCTATAACTCAGTATCTGCCTGGGTTTACTTCCCACCTTGTCCTAAATATGATCAAGGCCTTCTGGAAGTCCAATGGGAATCCAATAAATAAGTATTAATAGTAGATAGGTGACATCTCCTGAGCGTGCAGGTAGGGAATTAGATAGTTCTCTAGAACAAGTGAGCAGGAAAAATGACACTGAGGGCAAGAAGCACTGTTCTGCAAGGTGGTCACATGCCCAATTCTCAGGAGCATTGTCTGCCAAGGTTCAAGGATCCTCGAGGGCCCCAGCGATGGAGTATTTCCCCCACAGAGACCCTGGGAATACTCACCTGGCTTGATGGGCTGCCTGTTGGAGAAGGTCAGAGGTGCAACAAGAAATTTGGTCTCTGCAACCGGCACCCAGTGGTGGAGAATTTTCACTGTCCAGACCCCGGGCCTCAGAGGCAAGTTCAAAGGGGGCTTGTAGTGTGTGAATTCAGCAGTGGACTCAATCAGGATGTCATAGGTGGCTGCGATGATGTTGACGGGATCCACCCAAATGACGGTCACAGTCACGTTGGGCCCCTTCCCCCATTTCTGCATACCCACCGGCTCATCCATGGGCCCCAGGAGACCCCCAAAGTTGCGAAACAGTCGTTCCTTGGCATCCCAGTCAGTGCCGACCTGAAACAGGAGAGTGAATCCTGAAACCACCGGGCCTGAACTAGGGTGCTAGGTCTCTAAAAGGCCAGGATCCTGCTTGTGAGACTTCATGTACCCATTTAACAGATGCAGAAACTGAAGCTCCAATTACGTCACCTGCTCAAGATCATACAGCAACTTGGACCTGGTCTGGGGGAATCATATAGGACCTTCTGCTCTTTCATTAAACCACTGGGCCTCTGCCTGGACACGTTGTGTGCTTTGAAAACAATGGATGGAATGAATGCTTGCAAGCTATTCCAAAGGAACACACACCCTGCCACTCAACAGGCATAGCTGGTTTCCACTTTGGTCCTTGGTTTTCCAATTCATACACCTCCATTTAGTGCAAATGTTCTGAGCAAGAATGGAGTTCAGACTTTGGAGCTGCCCAATCCTCTGCTAGGAAAAAGGAGAGACCATCAGCATTGCCTATCATTTGCAGGAGTTCAGATGGCTTTCCTGAGAAGAGACAACTTTGGTTTCCTAAAATCATTCTGAGCTGGACGCCAGGGACGAGAGACCTCGTATGATCCCTCCTTCCCATGGGCCAGCGGGGTGTGTGTGGCTGTGACCTGCAGGAACCTGCTTTCTTCCCTCCACTTCTGTGCCTGCAGTTTATTCTCCGCCCAGTAGCCAGGAGACCGTGTAGACTGTCCCACTCACCCTCCTCCAAGAGCTGCCTACTGCACCAGCATCTGAGTGAGCCCGTCTTCCTCCAGGCTTGCCTTGTTCAGCCCACCCACGGTGCCGGCACCATCTGCCCTCCCTGGAATCCTCTTCCTTCCTATCTTTGCACAACTGGCCCCTTATCTCTGAGGCTTCCTCAGAGAGTCCTTCCCTGATCCCTTCCTTTCCCTTCAGTCACTCTCTGTTACCCCCACTGCTTTATTTTCTCCCTCCCAGTGGTGATAAGCACTGTCTGAGCATTGCCTCTGAGGTCCCTATTCCCTGTCTCCCCAGGCTCTGTGTGAAGAGGGGCTTTACCTGCTTTGTTTTCTGCTCTTCCTTGGCGTCTACAACTGTGCCTAGCACACAGTAGGCACTCATGCAATGTTTGTGTAATGAACAGTGAATGAGAGGACCAAAAAATAATGAACTACAGAGATCTCCAACACTGAGCACACAAACAGCTTGTTGCTACTTCAAATCAAATTTATAGGGCTTTCTAATTTGAGCAAATTTTGAAATCTCTTTCAGGAGGATTACTTTAATGGTTTTGAAGACATGGTATGTGGGCATGTGGACTCCAGATAACCACTGCTTCTGTGGTTATCCCATAATCAGTATCTATAGTGTGTGTGTGTGTGTG